TGTAATCTAATATAGGTATGAATAAACGGGTTAGGTATGTGAGCTCTTAATAACACACAGTCGTGTAAGGAACCGCACAGCTGCGTAATCTCAGTACTGGAGAGAGTGTATAATATGTCAAGCAATAATAGGCTATATCCTTTTTCAGCAAATGCTAGCACCATAGCGCTTTCTTTCTCTGAAAGGTCACGCTCGAAGAGAATTGCCGAACAAAATATGCTTTCGTAACGATACTTCGTCCAGGCCAATACTTTCAATTCAGCGAGAGCATAAAATTTGGCGGCTTTCCTCTCGGTCTTCTCCATGTTGATAGGCCACAGATGTATACCAACGCAACACATACATATGTTGGTATACATCTGTGATTAGCATATGACGTAATGACATGAGCGTATAACCTATCACAACTGCGGCCACGTTTGGTGTTTTTGTGTTGCGGCCAGCTGACGCGAAGTTGTTCGGCGTAAAAGGCGAGAGCATAGCGAAGCGTTAGTGAAAAGCGTTGTTCGGGTAAGAGTTGATCGGTAAAGATTTCGGTAATTTGTTCGGTATGCCTTTCGTTTTGCTATTAGCGAACAACGCACACACGATGGGAGGGAGTTCGTGAATTGTGGTAACGAATAACTTTTAGCGAACGTAAGTGAAACGCGGCCCCTGGACGATTATATAATCGTTGGCTATACTGAAGTGAGTACGCTAGCCGTGTTTGACACGACGGCGGCAGGTCGCTAAGGTACATCCATGCGAGCGGTTTTTTTAAAAAACTTGAAATGGTACGTAGATGGACTCGGGCGCATCTATGGGGTCGCTGATACCGACTTCCAAATTAATGTCAGGGCATGATCCAGCGAAAAGGGAAATATTTTGCTAAGAGTTTTTCGAAGCGCGCGCCCTCAAGCAACACCGTCGCAATTTCGAGGATTGGAGTTATTCTCGCCCTACGTGGCATAGTCCAAAGGCTTGCGAAGCGGCCAAAACCGGCTGCAATTGACCGATAAAGAGCCGATCTGATAGAACGCATGATAAAGTCCATATTGACAGAGCAGCGCAATTCGTCTAAATGGCGCCAGCACGGTGGCGCTGTTTCGCGCTTCGGCGCGGATTCTGCTGCGGAACGTCGAGAGACCGGGCGCTCAGTTGTATGTGTGCTTGTAATGTGATGTAAGTATGTGTGTGTGGTGTGCTGTGTGTGTGTGTGTGTGTGTGTGTGTGTGTGTGTGTGTGTGCGTGTGGCGTGTGCGTCGTGGCCGTGCGCGTGCGTGTCGCGTAATATGTGTCTGCACGCCCGTTGTGTGTGTCAACTGTGGTATGTGTGTGCGTGGGTGCGCGTGTGATTGTGCGTGGCGTATGCGCCGTATGTTGTGTGAATGTCGTGTGTGCGGTGCGGGCGCGCGTGTGTGTGATGTGGTGTGTCGCGCGCGTGTGTGCAAAAATATTTGAACAACGGGAGGTGTAACCGGCCCGCCGCCGGTCGACCTGAGCTTTCAAAGAAAATATTATCTTGCCAAAATACTCAATACATTTTTTTTTCAGGAATTTCACCGTTATTATTTCCATGCTTCTAAACCAGAATAATATATTTCAAAAATAATATCTAAATAAGTCAAATTGTACCATGCAATTCACCCTCAATTTGCCTTTTTTCATTTAAGGTAAAATTTCAGAATTTTAATATATATTAGACAACTTTTTTAAACAAATATTGAAATATATGACTCGAGTCTAAATATCAGTATTTTTCGTTTTACTGTAAATACATCCTCAACTAAAAGTGAGAGATAAATGGTTAAACGCCATCTCAAATCAGACGCCACTCAAACCGCGTCTGGAGGACGGGTAATAGCTAGTTTGCATGAATTTGCGTTGGTCACTCGTAATTTCTCAGAATTTCTCAAGGTGCATGGAACATTTTACACAATTTAGTGTGTCAGTTATGTCATGGATATGTCGCAAGTAAGTACTAACAATAGATATGTCACATACGTTGCAACCATTTTGCACACAGGCGGTCACTCGTCCCATTGTGAAAAATAGAAAAACGCCTGATTTCTCTGTTTCGATTTCTGACATAGTAGCCGATGTATAAATGGATATTTCTCTGTGATTACAACTCGGATTAATTTAATTTTACACTCGTTTTAAGGGCCCAAAAAATATACAAAAAATCTGTCAATTTTTGATAATTTTGACCATAATAAAGAACGTTTCCATGCATACTGCCACCAATACAGGTACAACAGTATAGGGTCCACCTTGACTGAAGGCCTATCCATCAGTCTGGTGTATCATTGATATAAATATCAGTTGAAGCATGGTGAAAGCTGGGTACAACATGGTACATATAACCCTTGTTTGCCGACAGTTGGCGATTTTGGCAAACGTTTTTCAATAACTTAAATATACCTTTTATAAACGTTTTACTAACCGTATAGAACGTTTTTAGCAAACGTTTTAAATAACCCTAAATATAACTTTACTAGAAACGTTTTCCCGAACGTTTGGAAAACGTTTCATTCATACGAAACCATAAAATAACCATTCAAAAACGTTGCGAAAACGTTATGTGTTAGCTGGGTACCCACCAGGACAATTACCCACCAGGACAATTACCCACTAGGACAACTACACCCCGGACAATTACCACCGGACAATTACCCACCAGGACAATTACCCACCCGGACAATTATCCACCAGGACAATTACCCCCACCCCCCGAACGATTACCCTAGCCCCCCCCCCCCACACAACAACACCGTACAGTAATGATGATTCATCTAACGGACCAACTTCATGATTTCCTAATTCAACTTCAACATTCGGCTGATCTGCCGATATTTTGACTTATTTGCGACATTTTCGATACCCGATATTGAAGTTCATATCGGCAAGTATCGGCCTTCACCTGCGCATCAGCAGCGGGAGCGAAGTGCAGCCACCAATGCACACGTACATGTCTAGACATTTTCTGGGTCGCTTAATACAATGAATAACCGTAATCACATTTATTTTACGTGCTCGCCACGCACTGGCAGTCGCCGCGTCGCGTTATTCTTGTAGTGTTGTTTTTGTTATTCTTCAAGTAAATTTATTGTTATTAAGGTGACACGCGCTATTGCAAATTCGCGTAATGCAAACTCGCGTAAATCAAGAAACAGCAGCGACGCGACACCCACTTAATTACCTTTCCGTACATTAAGTAACACTTTGCCTACGCGACAGTGCTGGCGATACTCGCGCGAGCGTCGCTCCCCGCGCCTAATCGCTCGCATGCTGAGTCCATCTGTGCATCTTCACGCTCGCATATCCTACCATAGGCGTTCGATTTATCGATTGCCTGAAATTGCAGTCAGCTCCCCTCGAGCGGTTGTTAAAATTCGGAATTTATTGAATACATCATTAGATGTATATATTGCAATATAATGAAAAAATTATGTGTTTTCATAATGTACATTATCACTACCTGTATCACATAAAAACTAAAAATCTTGTATAAATTCAGAGATGCAATGTGAAAACAATGATTTAAAACCTTATATTAGACAATTCAGTTATGATTTTGAAACTTTATTCACAATTCTATTTATTACACAAGCATTCAGGATGACCATTGTTTCATTTTTGGGCGCACTGTCTAAATTATTGTTATAACTATTCATAAGTGAAGAAGGGATGTACATATGCAAATATACAGTACTTCCACAGTGGCAGATTACATGACATTCAAAAGCAATTTTATATATCACGCTGTGAAAATTGACAATTAAGTACGTATATTTTTTTAGTAAACTAGTGATGTATTTGCCATGTGGTCAAATTGGCAATTGCTGATAAATATCATCAATCCTACTAAAATATAAGCTAGGAAAAAATGCAGATAGATGACCTTAGAATTAATGCGTCAAATTGCACCATTTTGCATTAAAAAAAATAAAATTTCGGGGGCCATGCCCCCCCCACTTCACACAAGTATTAACACTTGTAATAAATTTTTGTAAATCAGTATATTCACTCACGTACACACATACACACGCACGCACACAGACACGCACGCACGCACACAGCCAGCCACATATACGCACACACGCACAAACAGTTACATAACATAACGTACATGGCCAAGAGCAAGATCATTTGGGAATACAACATTTCCGTCATTATAGGAGAGGTAGGGGCGACTCCCCCCCCCCGTCCCAATTATCGACACATGGGGTAGGCATTTTTCTCTTTTCCAGACATACATTATGTATTGCAGCAAACAAAATTTTACGGAAGAGGGAATTTTTCCCTTATTGGAAGGTTAGGTGGGTAATTGTCCTGGTGGGTAATTGTCCTGGTGGGTAATTGTCTGTCCTGGTGGGTAATTGACAATTGTCCGAGGGGTAATTGTCCTGGTGGGTAATTGTCCTGGTGGGTAATTGTCCCGGTGGGTAATTGTCCTGGTGGGTAATTGTCCGGGGGGTAATTGTCCGGTGGGTAATTGTCCAGGGGGTAGTTGTCCTAGAACATCGGGAGATGGAGATCGGAGATTGGACATCGACGCAACACTCGGCGAGATAACCTTTGACCCGGCATACAGCTACATACCGCATACCGGCTACAGCTGGTATGCCCCCAGCCACGCACGCCCACCCCGCAATCAGCAGCAATCTCCCAGCGAGCCAACACGCATCGCCGAGCGTTAGTAGCTGCCTTTTGTTTCAAAGTAGGCTCTGAACGCATCGAGTTTGCTGCCAACAGAATGGAAAATCGTCTCGTACGTTTTAGTCTGTATCTCCGGATTGCGGGTTTATACGAGGAAACGATTTCGCACGATGCTAGGCGAACGTACTTCGTACGATTTGAGCTCAAGTTAGATGAGTTACGCCTAGTAAATCGTAGGTATTCTAAGGCTAGTAAATAACGAATTTCCCTTGTTTATTGAAGTCACACTCCATCCCTATTATCTACTCCTGATATATATATATATATACTCATGTATAGCTGATATGTCAGTCACATGGTCACACGACCAAACAAGACATGAATACACATGTAAAACATGGTCGTTCCATGTTGGGCCGTGTCCATCGCATCACGATGACAGATAGCATGGCGAACCAGTAGAAGACCCACTTCGTAAAGCTGAAGACGTTTATCAACGTTTCTATGTTTGTCGGAATGACCATCAGGATAGCGATCGTACACTGCGGATTTAACGCACGATGTTGACTACATTGCTAGGCTCAGAACGGGAGAGAGGGAGAAAGAGAAAAACTTGGAAAGAAATATATGGAAAATGGATGAACAAGAAAGAATAGAGAGCGATATATATATATGTGTGTGTGTGTTTGTGTGTGTGTGTGTGTGTGTGTGTGTGTGGTGTGTGTGTGTGTGTTGTGTGTGTGTGTGTGGTGTGTGTACAGAGACAAAAAGAAAGGAGAGCGAAAGACAGAAAGGAAAGTACAAAAGAAAGAAAGAAAGAAATGAAGGGCGACAAAAAAGAGAGAACGATAGATAGGGAGCCAACGACAGAAACAGAGAAAGACCCAGAGAGAAATACAGGGAAAGATATGGAATAACAGAGAGATGCAATTTTCCGCAGAGCAGGAACCCTACGTTAGATGGCCACGACGACATTCCAAATAGAACGTCGTATTTCGAATTAGCTGCATCGCTGACCGAGAGCCGATGCCTCTCTCCGAGACAGACAGACAGACAGATAGATAGATAGATAGATAGATAGATAGATTGATAGATAGATAGATAGAATGATAGCTAGATAGATAGATGGATAGACAGACAGACAGACAGACATACATACAGACAGACAGACAGACAGACAGACAGATAGACAGATAGATAGATAGATAGATAGATAGATAGATAGATAGATGGATAGATACATAGATACATAGATAGATATAGATAGATAGATAGATAGATAGATAGATGATAGATAGATAGATAGATAGATAGATAGAATGATAGAGATAGATAGATAGGTAAATTAGATAAATTGGATGGAAGGATAGTTGATAGGAAAGTAAGATAGATAGATAGATAGATAGATAGATAGATAGATAGATAGATAGATAGAATGATAGATAGATAGATAGATAGATAGATAGATAGATAGATAGATAGATAGATAGATAGATAGATAGATAGATAGATAGATATTGTTAGTCTGTGTCGTTACTCGCGTTTAGTATGATCGCAGGCGCCGGTGTGTAGCGCTTCGCGTGCACGTACGACAGCACGCGCGGCATGTCTCTCTCGGGCGACGACGTGGAGTATGCGCGGCGCCGCGAAACTGCCGCCGTTCGCTGATCCGAACACGGATATAGCGACGAACACCGGGATGCACCACGCCATCACACCCAGCATCGAATCCGCCCACGTCTGTGAAATAAAGTGGGTGAGTGAGTGGGGTGTTGGTATTAGTGAAATTTATATTCTGAAATTCATACGAACTTTCTGGCGCGTGAATTCGTCTATTTGTGTAGCTATCATCGTGAGCACGTCTATTTGTGTAGCTATTATCGTGAGCATGTCTATTTGTGTAGCTATCATCGTGAGCACGTCTATTTGTGTAGCTATCATCGCGAGCACGTCTATTTGTGTAGCTATCATCGGGAGCACGTCTATTTGTGTAGCTATCATCGTGAGCACGTCTATTTGTGTAGCTATCATCGTGCATGAGCACGTCTATTTGTGTAGCTATCATCGGGAGCACCTCTATTTGTGTAGCTATCATCGTGAGCACGTCTATTTGTGTAGCTATCATTGTGAGCACGTCGATTTGTGTAGCTAGATGATAGCTACACAAATAGACGTGCTCACGATGATAGCTACACAAATAGACGTGCTCACGATGATAGCTACACAAATAGACGTGCTCACGATGATTGAGCACGTCTATTTGTGTAGCTATCATCGTGAGCACGTCTATTTGTTCTAAGGCCGAGTTTACATCGCGATAACATCGGAAACTGATCATGGAGGAAATGTGTCAGAGTGAAACCAAGAAAGTTTGCCTGCATAACATGGTTTAACTATTGATGCTTCGTAATAAATCTGTCAACAGATTAACAGATTTATTGTGATGAGTATTTGCCTTTGACAATTTTCGCGAAACTTGATACGATAATTCATGACATTAATGTTATGAATCTATCGGTGACCGCGTGCTTTTCTCTAATATATGTGTATATATATATATATATATTATATATATATATATATATATTGTATATTCTGTAGTTTCACATATTCTAGACCTACAACAACACGCTCAGCTCGTTGATTGCAATAGTGTTGCGGTTGACATTGATTGTAAGAAGGAATATTCGTCAGAATGTAGAGCAGCCGTTAGCCCCAGCGGACAGATATACAGATAGAACGCACGAGGTATCTGCATAAAGAATTAACCAGAATAACTAGTGTATATATATGTAAATATATAACTACTGTTTAATATCTATAATATATATATATATATATATATATATATATAAAGAGATAGATAGATAGATAGATAAGTAGATAAATAGCTAGATAGATAAATAGATGGATAAATAGATTGATAGATAGATAGATAGATAGATAAATAGATAAATAATAAGATAGATAGATATAGATAGATAGATAGATAGATAGATAGATAGATCGATCGATAGATCGATAGATAGATAGATAGCATAGATAGATAGATAGATAGATATATTTTTGGTATTTTTCTTTCAACAGCTGTGGTCGCCAACCGAGGCGCTATATTTCGCCGGGCAACGCCGGGTGTCCTGCTAGTTATTATATATATATATATATATATATATATATATATATATATATATGTATAATATTAAACCAATGTATACTAAGATAACTAAACTAATATATTATTCTAAACTACTATGTAATATATTAAGACGTATACGATGACTCCTGATAAAAATTATATTCCCATAAAGTTATCAGTGATCATCGCACAGTACCACTGCGATGGCTCAATTGGTAGAGTGCTCGCCTCGCATGTGGAAGGTCGTGGGTTCAAATCCCGGCCGGGTCATACCAAAGACTTGAAAAATGGTACACACTGCTTCTCTGCTTAGTACTCAGCAAAAAGAGATAGAGTGTGGAACAGGTGCCAAGAAGAGAGCCTTGTATGTGGCGGCACCCGTCAAGCTGAAAACTGTGAATCTCTTCACTAGCCCACTAGGCCAGTAGCCGAGTAGGGCACCCGAAAATTATTATTATCAGTGATCGAAATCAAATAGTTGCTGGCATACCTTAAATTGACCACGTCACGAATTTTCTATGGTGTATAATTGTAAAACATCGTGTGCCCATTTAGATGATGATGTCACTTGCGTGTGTTATGATCCATGGAGGAAATATTACCTGGAACTCTTAAGCTCCTCGTCACGTTATTTACTACATCCCAACAGGCGAGTAAGCCCATAGTCCGCTATAGAATGCCAGCGCGATGTTGGAAAATGACGGAGGATATGTCATCGTCAAACTCGGTAAACGCATTCGCAAAGTGTTCAGTCTTTCCTGCAATCAGTAATAGTTAATCTCGCACGCGCACACACACACACACACACACACACACACACACACGCCACGCTACGCACGCACACACACACACACCACGAAGAGAGAGAGAAAGAAGAGAGAGAGAGAGAGAGACACACACACACACACACACACCACGAAGAGAGAGAGAAAGAAGAGAGAGAGAGAGAGAGACACACACACACACACACACACACACACACAGACACACGCGTTAGCACGCATGTACTCGCGTACGCGCACGTATATAAATATAAATAAGTTGCTAGATGGCGTACTCTTCCCACATTGCTTGCAACACATTATTTGAATCGGTATACTACAAAAACACATCTGCTGGTGACAGAAAGATTACTTGCGTCTTAATCTCTAATCCATTGTTAAATGCTTCTAATATAATATATAAATGTTCTTTTAATAAAAAGTAAATCTTTAATCTGATCCCCTCCCGCAGCTATCGTCTCGCTGGAAAACTAAACAGTTCAGCGTAGATGCTAATGACCTTTAAATAGATTCACTATTCCTCCTACAATGGTAATGGCGAAGGCTAGGATCTTTGCTACGGTGGAGATAACCTGGACTCGTGCCGCGTACCTGACTCCATAGTAGTTGATGGAGGTCAGAGGTACTGGAAAGAGAAAGATATTCAGGTAAATGAGTTCAAGTAGGTCGAGGGAAGAATTCAATGGAATAGCGAGTATTCCGGTATGAGGTCTCTCCCTGGATCCGAAATAA